AAAAAAATATTCACAAATAATAATTAAACAAAATAACACCAAAAATGTTTTAAAGTCCCCCGCCCCCCCACATACACACGCAAACATGCGTCGGGTGCGTCTATGTACAAAAACGACGATTGCGCCCATTACGCCGCACATGTTACATAGCGCCGCGAACGTCGCAGTGAGAACAATAAGTCTAGGGCCATCAATTACTGATGACACTAAACTGATGAGCGGTAAATACGTTTAAAGCATCGCCTATGGCCAATTTTGGTTGCGGGAAGTTTTCTGCGATTTCGCGGGCGCGCGCAATTTTAAAGGTTGACATGTTTAGTGTCTATTTACCCGACGTGACCCCGTCTTTTATATTATACCAAAAAATTGGGGTGAAAATAAATGTTTCATAACATTTTATAGGGAAACATGGTTTTTTTTTTCAAAATTTAGGGTACTTTTTTTGTTATATAGTAAAAAATAAAAACCCCAGTGGTGATTAAATACCACTAAAAGAAAGCTCTATCTGTCCCCAAAAAATGGTATGAAATTCATTTCAGTACAGCGTTGCATGACGGAATAAACATCAGTCAAAGTACCGCAGCGCTGAATACTGAAAAATGGCCTGGCCAGGAAGGGGGTGAAACACCATGGCCTTTAAGTGGTTAACTGACATTTGTATTGCAGATAATGAGGGCTTCAGAGCACGAATGTACGATATCACACAACATCCATTTTTCAAGAGAACTATCGCAGTCTTGGTCTTGGCGCAGTCAGTTCTTCTTTCTGTCAAGGTATGCAACTTAAATCTATGAATCTATGCAATATAAAATTAATTAAAATTGACAGGAGAATATACTACAGCACACCATGATTGCACATAACACAGTGTTACATAGGCACACCTCTAGCTGCAGCAGAAAATTATTTATTTAGTGGTGATATTGCTAGTGCCACTACATGACAACTTTCCACTGTGGCTTTGTTTAATAGGATGCCGGCAGCGGCCAGGTATGGGACAACACCAGTCCAGTCATGAAGTAGCGACAATAATAATAGATCCCCCAGTCCAGAACTGGTAGTTCAACACTGCATTTTTTTAGGGACTCTAGGTGGATGTAGCAAGTCATGAAGGTCCTCAAAAGTACATACAGGTAAGAAGAATGTCCATGGTCAGAAGACGTCAGTGTTCATTCTAAGCCCTCTCATGCCTTTTAGTACAATAGCCAGCAAGTGCTGAACATTGTAGTTTGATAGTTTGTAAACAAAAAAATTGGAATTTTATTATATTATTCAATTGTTAGTGTTTCTATGCACAAACTTCTTTAAATGTTATCTTTTTATTCAGAAATATAGACCTCAAATATCTTATCGCTTTTTAGGACACTGAGATTTTTTTAGCCTCAGAAAAACTGTTAGGCATACAGGGTTGAAATAAAAGTGCAGGTCAGGATGGCCAGAAGCTCTGATAGCAATACATCTAATCACAGATAAGGGGGATGAAAAAAAGATTTGTGATGAAAAACAGCATTATCCCAAAGCATGTTCCTAGTAATCTGACATCAGTTCTTCTTGAAAGCTGAAATATAAAAGCTTACTGGTGGGGCGAACTTTCCTCCCTTGAGCCCAATAACAGCAGCACGGGCTGCTATGTCTACAGTTACAGCACTGTATATGACTCTTACTATCACTTGCCCAATGCTATTGGTCCCTGCATGCAGCCAGAAAATACTTGGCTCTTAAGCTGTGCGGCCCATAGGAGGTGCAAAGACTACCAGGGATTAAGCCAGGTCCTTGACTATATTAAAGAACTCTAATAATGTGTTTGTCCAGTATAACAACAATTGACAGATGTGTTCTTTTTCCAGTGGGATGTTGATGACCCGTCGACTGTTCCTCTAGCAACCATATCAGTAGTTTTTACCTTCATTTTTGTTCTAGAGGTAAAGTATTTCCAATTATATTTGTTCTTTATGAAGACAAGCTAGAGAATATGAGTCAAAGTTTGTGCTAATACGGATATAAACCTTCTCAAACCTTAACAAACACCAAGTTATTATTAGCATACTTAATACCAATTTATAACATTTTGGACTGCTAGATAAATGCCATATGCTTTTAAATGCGATTATAAGAACCTACAATGGGATAATGAGCCAAGCATTTTTTTTCTACTGAACTTTTTAGGTTTTTTTTACGAGCGTGTAAATGTTAAAATTAATAAGCACTAAACCAAAGAAATATTACCTTATGTGACCATCTACACAAAAAACAAAAACAAATATAAGACGTGCATTTTACAGCACATAATTTCTCCTTTGTTCATTGAAGTACACAGTGATCTGGAACCACAGGGTATTGCACCACCTATAAGAGAAGGATGCTGGGCACAAACAAAAGACGAAAGACAGCCTAGGGGCGTCCTCTGCTGGTGGCCACAGTCCATGTACCCATTGCAGTCCTGACCGCACGTCCAACAAAGTATCCTGGGTGCTCA